GCTCGGAGTGGAATAACCCGAAATGCGTGGCACAGAGTGGGGAGGCAAATGACTAGGTGAGAGGCGGAAGAGCTAATTTGAACGAGGAGAGCGTCGAGAGCTCGTGTGCGTGCTGACAGAGAGAGAGGCGTGGGGAGGCCGAGAGGAGAGATAGGAGGAGGAGGAAAGAAGGGGGCGGGAGAGAGTCACAGGAGAGCAAGAAACGAGAAAGTGAGGGGTGTTGCACATGTCGTCTGTCTCCGCATGTAGTCGGAAGGAAAAGCATGTAAGAGATGCCCTTCTTTATCTCGTAAGCACTTCAAACGTGAGTGGGAAGCACTTGTAAACAGGAGTGAATGTCACGTTGCACCGCAAATGGGAACGGGCGTCGTGCAAGAGAGGATATCTGGACTATCAATGGCGACGAAGAGCAAGAAGAGTGTATCCAATCGAAGGACACTTTCAAATTATCAAATGCAACGTACGTAGTCGTAGACAAAGAAATACTACCCAAACAAGTAGAACAAAGCATCGAAATGAACTGAGGGCATATTACTGTATAACTAAAACTTACCCGACTGAATCTGACCGTCACTGCGGTCGGATACGTCCCCAAGAGTCCACGCACGTGAGTATGTACTAAGTGCCTCGCTCCACTACGCAACACTCTACATGCATTTGGGCGCTTTTTGGACCAGTACAACCATCCGAACGTATCAGGTCCAGAAAGCGTCCAAATGCATGTAGAGTGTTGTGTACTGGAGCGAGGCCCCAAGTATCACAGCTTATTTTCGACGCACAAAATAAACGCTGCCGCCCTTTTTGAGATTGCAACAGACACGCAAAGAGAATCGTCGTTCCAGTCATTGCCCCGCCAGAACCGTCTACTCGGTGAATAATTCCAGTCGTTGCCCCGCCAGATTGCAACAGACACCCAATGAAGAGAAGGAATTAAGACCGCCTGCGCAGCCCGCCAGAACCGTCTACTCGGTGAATAAATCGGACCGCCAACCTCCGTTTGGAAAGGAGAGATCAGAACGGCAATTATTAATCAAGTTCGAAGGGCAAAAAATGGTGATTAATCAAGTTCGAAGGGCAAAAAATGGTGATTAATCAAGTTCGAAGGGCAAAAAATGGTGGAGGCGCCAAAAATGAAAAAGCTCCATCCAAAACAAAAAACAGCCTAGGTTCAGCTGCCAGTGGCACATTAAGTTAAACCTCTCATGTTAAACCACCAGTACTTGGCCCAGCTATCGGCCGCAGGAAATAATAGAGTAGAAACGTTTCTAGTCGGATGAATTTGGGCGCTCCTGTAGTGGCCCGTACGTTTCCTAAAATCGTGGCGCGTTAACGGGCACGACTCTAGGAAGCACTGCAGTGGTTTAAACAACAGGAAAAAGGAAAAACGAAGAAAAATTAAGACATCCGAGGAACAGACGAAAATACTGTTAAGAAAGACGGAGGCTACCAGTTCGTTCACTGAGCAAATACTTTTTCTTTAGGCACGGACGGAAATGCATCCGAGCCCCCCAGGACTCAAGGTGCCGCTCCTCATACTGATCTTATAAAACAAAGAGAATGAAAACGAAGTACCACGACAAAGAAGTAAAAAGCTCTTCTTGGTCGACGTGGTCGTCTTCTTTTCTTCTCTCTTGTGATCGCTTAACAGATCGCATCATCGGCTTTTTCCCTTTTGATGCACGTGCAGCTAGCTAGCAGTAAGGTCATCACGCTGTTCACTCGCTATCGCCATCATAATAATCATCAGCAGCAGCCGCAGCAGCACCAGCAGCCGCCGCAGCCGCTTCGTCATCCTCGCCATCGACTCACCTTCATCTTCTGCTGCTGGCTAGCGACTAAGTTCGACTAAATTTGCCTTGCTTCTGCTGCTTCATCTCTCACTACTGATGCCCTAGAACAAACGAGCGCGTAGTTGCCAGAGATTGCATGTTTCATTGATTATCTAATCGACCGATAGTTCAACCTATTGATTGATTGATTGATTGATTGATTGATTGATCATTTGATCGGTATCTAATCGACCGATAGTTCAACCGATTGATTGATTGATTGATCGATTGATCGATTGACACACTGACGGATTGAATGGCTGATAGAGATTTCATACCAACCAGAATCGAACTCTTCGACACCAAGGGCAAGGAGGGCCGCTTTCCAAGGGGGACTATCGAAGTCCATATCCCGCCCAGCTTCTTCTTCGTCATCTGAGTATCCCAGCCCGGCCTTGCTGTGCGAATTTCTCCCTTGCTCTAAGATTGGTCGGGAATTCGGTCTCGCACCTTCCTCATCTTCTCCTTCTCTGTTCCTGCATGCGCCACCCTTGACTCCTCCTACTCCAACTCCTCCCTTTCCTGCGAAACGCAGAGTACTTCTATAGTCACTGAACCTTCCACGAAGGATCGCTCCTGCGGGACCTGGAATCCGAGCTCGACAGCCAGAAGGAAAACCGGCCGAAACGAACGGTGCTGATCTTCCCATGTCAGTGTCAGCGGAACCGGCGGTCGCGGCGGCAGGAGGAGCAGCGTCCGTTGCGATCCTTCTCTGTCTGTCTGGTACTGCTGAGTCAGCGGCGTGCTGGCGATGCTCGGGACCCGCCACCTCATTCCTATGATGGACGGTCTCGGTCTGTCCTGATGGAGGAGGAGGATGGGAGTAGTAATCATCCGTCCGATCTGTGATCGACGTTTCCACCTTCCTCGGAGGAACATAAAATCTCACATGCCGCCCACGTGGCGGCCCCTCCGATGTCTTACACCTGCCATCTTTCGGAGAAGATAACGACTGGTTGATCGGCGGCGCGCATTGCCTTGTCGATTTTGCTGAGAGAACAACAACCACCTCATCCTCCTCTTGATCCTCTCCCTCCTTGTCTCTCTCCTGCTGCGATGGCAGGCGCCTGTCCGTGGGAACAACATGTGTCACTCCCTCCCCTCCTTTTCGCTGCTGAACGTCGCAAGCCCTCTCCCAAGACGACCTTTCCCCTTGGCGGCGCCCAAGGTCCGACGTCAAGCAGTCCCGATCCCGATCGCTCTCTCTCCCCTCCCAGTCGTCTTCCACGGGAATAACAACCGGTGGCGGATCTTTGTCCTCTTCCCTGCGCGCCGAGGCCGCATTTCTTTTCCCGCCCGTTCCCACCGCCGAGTTCTTCGCAGCTTGCCACGCGTCAGCCGATGGACAATTTCCCCCCTTGTCAATATTCGCCCTATAGCCTTGGACATCCTCGCCATCGCTGCGGTATGGCAGTCGGCCATTCCCCTGACTTCCAGAGACTACACCTATGCCTACTTTCCCTCCCTCGTCTTCTCCTCCTCCTCTCCTTCGGTTTCCCCTTCCCACGTCCTCTTGATGACTTCCCGCCGGCTCGCGGGAAAACCTACTGCTTGAAGAGCGCACATCAGCCGGATCTACATCGCTGTTGAGAGAATCGCCTCCTCCTCTCTCCCCCCCCGGCGCAGAGTTCTCCCCACAGCGAGTCACTCGCAGCAGGTGGTCCCCCCATGGCGGCCGAGGACCAGCAATAGTGGCTACTATCGCATCTGACCGCCTGACTATGGGCTCCTGATCCGACGCGCCGCCGACCAAAGATGGTGGTCCTGGCAACAATGCCGCGGACTCCGACGGAACTGCCGATCTTACTGGGATTCCGCGTGACGATGACCGAGCTGGCAAGCCAGATAAGGGAAGAGCGTAACACAGCATGTCGGAGTCGTCGATCTCGAGCTCATCCTCCGGTTCGGGATCCATAGCGTTCTCTCTCTCCTTGCAAGCGGAAGTCTGAGAATTTCGACAACGGAGCGCGGACGGACCGAGGAGGAAGAGTCTCAGAATGGACGTCTCAAAATTTTGAAAAAAAAAAGGAGAAAGAAACCCATCCGCTGCATCCACACCAACCTAAATCCATTGACGGCATCGCCAAATCACGCTAGAGTCAAGGCGTTCACATCATTGACACTCAATATCATCGTCTATAGCCTCCAACTGGCAAAAGAACGACAGAAAAAACGCCCATACCTCTCTCTCTCTTTTTTTTTTTCTTTTTTTTTTTGGCCGCACCGCGCGCTTCACTGCAGTGCAATACGAAGGCAACGCGAGAGACAGACAGACAGGGGGAAAAGGACCTTGCGCAGCCGGCGCTACGGGCTCCGCTCAGCGTTACCGGGTTCGACAAAACCCGAGCAACCGCTCAGGACGGTACCACCGAGATATCATCCTGGAGTCGTCCCACCGCACGCTCTCATCGCAGGGCATCGCAGGGCGGATATGGCGAAGCACTACGGTAGCCATACGTGTGGCTCAGACACAGGTGGAGGAAGCCTTCCCTCTCCCTCACGTGTTTGACGGTCAAGTGTTGGGAGGGTAAGTGTTGGGAGGTAACAAGTCGAGTCGTCCGAAGCCAGCTAGGAGAAGACGGGAAGTTCAAGCCAAGGAGACATGGAGGCTACACCAGGACACGAGGGAACGGGGAGATCCCCCCCTGCAGGTCTGCACGAGGAGAAAGATTACCGAGAGGATGAAGATAGGATTACCGGCCTCCTAGCGATGTGTTTCGATGACGGGGATATACCCGACAGAGATAGATCCGGGCGAAATGGTGATTGAATGAGAAATCTGGTGTGAACTCAACACCTCTGTCGACGATATCAAGGTAAAATGGCTGAAGGAGCGTTCAGTGGCGGTCATCTACAAAGACGCGGCGACGTTCCTACCAAAGAAAATCAAGGACGATTTGGTCCGCCCCTTTGAAGACGGATGGGTCAAAGTCGGCAACGAAGACCTACCGAAGAACTCGAGACGAGGAAGAATTAAGATTGAAGGAGCAGGAGTGGGCCGAGTGGCCTCGTACATAGCGAAGGCGAAGGAGGTGGCAGACTTTATGATAGCAGAGGGGGCAAGTAGATGTAACCTTGGGCGAGGACTCCTATAGGATCCTATTTAAGCCTTTGTTGACACGTGCCGAGTTTAGGGAACTAAGGGCCTCGCCACACCACTCTTGAAACCCGGTTTTCGAGAGTTGGAGCCGCCGCCACACAGCCACTTGAGAGTTGTGGCCCGAAAACTCTTTCGAGAGTTGTCAGACCTTGTTTCGAGAGTCGACTCTCGAAACTCCTAAACGCCCAGCCTGCAACTCGTGCGTTTTCAAGCGTCCTCGGTCGAACCCTTGAGGGACTTTCGATTTTCGAGAGCTGTCTGGCCGTTATCCTCGGAAAAGACAAAGCTGTACGACTGTCGTTTTTCATCTTTTGTCCAACACCATCGCCCTTTCGAGAGTGCTGTGTGGCGAAGGCGCCTCAACTCTCGAAAACCCGACTCTCGAAAAAGTCTGACAACTCTCGAAAAATTTTCGCATTTCGAGAGTGGTGTGGCGAGGCCCTAAGGAAGCAAGAGGAGGAAAACACCTTCTCGGTGATGGCGATGCAGGTCCCACTAGACGATATGCCCTTTATCTATGTGCAGGTAGAAAAACCTATAGGGAAGATAATAATGGCACATCCAACAGACGCAGATCGGACGAGACCGGCGGCGTTAATCAACGCCCGGTTCGATCTTGATCCAGAAGCTCGGCCAAACATGAAGAATGTACTGTGGGTGGAAACTGCCAAAGGAGACCTACTGGAAATCATGGCGTACTCACACTAGCAGTATCTCAAACGTATATGACCGCATTCACGGCCATACCTTAATGTATCTGGCCGCAATTCCATCCAAAAATGCGTAAAAAAGTTCTAGTGTGAGCGTGCCCTCAGGCTAGCAACAGCGGGAACGATGAAATGCAGGAAATGTAAGCAATTGGACCTCGCTCCACCACTCTCGAAATGTGTAAAACTAGAGTGAATCTTCCGCTAGAACAAGGAAAGATGCATCGCCATGATTTTTGTCTTTTGTGCATTTCCGGTCCAGGGTAGTGGAGCGACTCCCATTGTTTCACACGGAAGAAGATTGTCAAAGAGGAGGAAGAAGCCGATCCGGAGGATGCCATAGCAGCACCGTCAGGACTAAACCAAGCTCGTCAACAGAACCAAGCATCAACCTGTAAGGGAGATGGTCAAGGATCAGGGTATCAAGGCCCATTGGGCCTCAGGCAAGCCACCCCAGCACATTCAGGCGGCGCGAGCCATGGGAGACTCATGCGATGTCGGGGCAAATACCCTGACAAGGGTATTTGCCGGGGTTTTCAACGTCGGACGCTGTCCGACTTTTTCGTGGAATTGAAGGACTTGACGAGACTGACGTTGCCGAAGTTGTTTAGACAGACCTATGACCAGTAGGCTTAAACTTTTTTTTTTTTTTTTTTTAGCTAGACGTCGCAGCCGTCCGACTGAAATAGTGGTAATCAGTGGTGTGATCACTAATCACGGCATCTGACGGAGCTACGGAATAGTTTGGCCGAGGGACTATTAGGATTATACCTACCCTACCTATGAAGGTGGCGCGTGGAGGTAGGCCGCACGATTCAGGGCCTAAGTGCGTTCAAAGTGACGACCTTACCGGAGGCCGCGACAAGAGGTAAGTAGGAAGTTAATTTTTTTATTTTTATTTTTTTAGGACCATGGGTGTCCGCACCAAGGGCTGAAATGGATGGCTCGATAGCCGCAGGGTGCGACAAGTGTAGGGCTGGCCAACCAGCCACCCAGCCTGCAACCACCCAGCGTGCAGCCAGCCAACCAGCAACCAGCCTGCAACCAGTCGGTCAGCAATCAGCCAGCCACCCAGCCTGCAACCACCCAGCGGGAACGGCCGCCTGGCTGCAGCTTGACCCTTGCGCAAGGATGACACACATAAATCGAGAAAAGGTCCAAAATCCAAGTAGGGATTTGAACCTGGGTCTGTACCTCGATGTGCCATAGCAGGCCACGATGGGACGTGACCGTTGGCAAAACCGGAGTAATAATAATAATAATAAAAATAATAATAAATAAATAAAAAAGGAA